ACGGTCTTTCCCGGGCTCCACTCCTATCTCCCACCCCCTCCCGTCAGAACCTGGGCCCCTCCCAGAGCCATCGGACCCCAGGCTCTGCGCCCGCCCTCTCGCCCGCCCGCCGCAGGACCAGGCCGCTGACCGGTCCTGGAGCTGGAGGTCGGGTCGCTCTCGAGGCTCTTCATAGAAGCTGATGCCCGGGTGCGTGGCAAGGGCCCGCCACAGGAACTCCTGCGTGTAGGGCTCCAAAGGCAGGGGGAAGGGCGGCACTCGCGTCTCCAGACGGCTCCACAGCGCAGGCAGACACAGGCCATCAAGCCCCTCGAGGGCCACCTCGTCCAACAACGACTCAAGCGCGTCCATTGCTACTTCGGTGGGCAGCTCCCCCGGCGCCTGCGCACCAGGACACTAAAGGCCCTCCAGCGCGCCTGCGCACAACCTTCGGCAGCCCTGAGAGGCGGGATGGACTTTGAGATCCGAGGAGGAGTTCCAGAGCGCCGATGCGACGTCACTCCCTTTGGGGGCGGGCTCAGTCCCTGGATCTCCACCGCCATTGGTCCGGAACCCCGCAGTAACCAGGGGAACTGCAAACAGTGTAGGGGCCGCTTCCGGTTCGAGCACCCGGAACCGCCGCCTCTAGGGATGGACGGTGAGTGTCCGTGGGCCCCTGCGGGCGGTCGGGCAGTTATTCTTTCACCTTTCCTGAGGCTTCCCCGGACAAACTCCTAGGCCGGAGAGCCCTGGACCACCACTTCCTGACCCATGGTGGCCCCCGGTCTGAGGGAAAGGGAGCCTTAGTGATCCGGGATGGCCAGAAGAGGCTGGGGGGAGTGGTCAGTGGTGTGGCCAAGGTGCAGAGCTGTGGTCGTGTAGGAACCCGGTACAGGCTGGAGGCTCAGAAGAGGTTTAGAGTGGAAAGGAGAAGTAGAAGTCTGAGGGCGAGGGGGTCCTGTGTGTCTTCCTCGGATGTGGAACTGTGCAATCTGGGAGTTGGTACGGGAGTAAGCGTCACCCTGGGGAGTGCGGTCGTCAGCAAGTGGGAGAAGGGAGTTGGTAAGGTGGGTGGGGGAATTCTAGGGCATACTCTCTTTATGAGCTCTGGTGAGAATAATTAGTACCGTCCAGTGCCAGGAACTCTGTAAGCTCTCTCAAGCAACACCTCGTTAAGCTTCAGAACAGCCCTTTGAGGTCAGTAGTGTTCTCCTGTTTTGCAAATGAAGCAACTGAGGCTCAAAGAAGTTAACTTGCCCCTAACCAAACAGCCCACAAGTGGCAGGGTAGGTAAGAAAGCCAGACACTCTGCCTCTGGAACCAAATTATGGAGTTTGAGATTTGAAGCGGGTTTCGGAGGCCCTTCATTCCAGAAGTTGCAAATGCAGATATATGTAGGGACAAGTCTGGCGGGCTGGATTGGGCTGCGACTGAAAATCAATTCGCCTTTTGAAAGGAAAGCGTCTCACTCGGCTCCAACCTATTATTTTCCTGGGGCACTTCTCTAAATACCGGGACAGCCAATCAGTCTGAAGGCCAGATGGAGCCTGTGGGCCACTGTTTAGAGGTCCCTGATTAGAATCATAGAATCGACCATGGGAAGCAATCTAAAAATAGGCTACTCGGATCTCATTTTGAAGATAGGAGGACTAACGTTTAGACAGACTGTTAGGGTCTATGCTAGAATTCAGATCAGTTTTCTCATTTCACCACTAAGAGGGATTTGTTCCTTTGTGATATCCACTTAATGCAGTGTGGGATTTTTTTTTTTAATTGAATAATCTGATGTGTGCTTAAAAGACGCTTTGCCCTTTGTACTTCAGAGGTACTGTAAAATGTCATTTGCAGGTTTGCCTTGTGGGAAGATCAATGTAATGTTTCTACAGAACAACAGTTCTCAAATTTTTTTGGTCTCAGGACTCCTTTATGCTCTTACCTCAGAAGAGCGTTGTTTATGTAGATCTGTGAAATTTACCATATCAGAAATGAAAGCTGAGAAAACCTTAAAACATTCATTTATCAACTTATTTAAAAATAACAATGAACCCATTACTTCTGAATATAAATAATAATTTTAATGAAACATAGCTTTGCGCCCCCGCCCCCAAAAGTAGTAGGAAGAGTAGTAGTGGCATTATTTTACATTTTCTTAAATCTCTTCAATGTCTGGCTTGATAGAAAATAGCTAGACTCTCATTTCGGCTTTGGCAACCAAACATGTGTTTTCTGGCTGATGTATATGAGCAAAGTCTGGCCTCACACAGATATATAGTTGGAGCAGGGACTATTTTAATTGCCTTTTCAAATACCATTCTTTTTTGATCCTACACCAAGACTTAGCAAGTGGTAATTCTTGAAGGTTATGTGCAGTGTGGCATCTGAAACCATATTGGTGAACTTTTATACTCTATCGTATTAAAATCCATTGGTTTATCATGCCCTTTGGTTGGATATTTTACCCATGTATGATTTTGTTACATTAAATGTTTGTCATTTAGGAAATGTTGATTTACCGAGTTATACAAATCTTCCAAATGTTGACATTTTAAAAATTCCACTATTAATATCAAATAGAATGTCATCATGATATCAAAAAAAATCACATTTGTTAATATAACTACCATATAAGCTGTTAAACTCAAGGTAGTAAGAAACAAGTTTTCATTTGGGCAACAAACACTGTCAGTTGGGTATTTGGGACAGACTCATTTTTTTTTTTTTTATATATTTGAGAAAAGTTTGAATAATGATAGTTTGTTGTTCATTTAAGTGCAAGTGGCATTCAGTATCATATGTGGCTAGTTCAGCTGGTAACTCAAACAAGCACAGGGGTGTTTTCTGGGATCAACTGTTGTACTTTGGCACATAGCAGAAGTGCTCGACGCGTACTTCCCATTTTGTCACACACAGTATTAAAAAGTTGTGTACTCGAGGAATGAAATGTAATAATATTAATTTCTACTATTTTATAAGGATATTCTTAGGTGAAAATGATTTTTGTTTTGTTTTGTTTTATCGTGAGTATGTGGTAGTAAAGAATATAATGACTAATAACACAGTTTGGTGCTGCTGCCTTGTAGAGATTCAGGCCACAAACAGTTTTACCTACCGCTGCTTTCACATCATCAGTGCAAATATTGACTGATGTAAATAAAAAAAGCTTTAGAATTATGATGAGAATAGTTTTGTCTTTGTGGATCTCTTTTCCTCCTAGGGTCTGTGGAAGATAGTTTGAGAACTATTGCTGTAGGCCATTTTCAAGAAGTCTACGTTGTTACCATGTCAGCACTCCTAGAACATTATCATGGCCTAATAGAGGAACCTGTTAATTTTCAGACTGGTCACAAACAAGAAAAGCTTGTTCTCTTTTAAGAAAGCATTTGCCCTAAGATTAGATTTAGCATTCAAAGGATCCATTTTTCCATTACTATTTTTAAAACTTAGATTTACACAACAATTTTGTACGCACATACCTGTTGGGTAAAGTGAAGCATACCGTGATGAATTGTGATTCTAGCCAACTAGGTAGGCCTTATCAAAAGCATGTTTACTTCCTAAACTTACAAAAGCTTAAGTATCTACCAAGTATCCCCAAACTGGATTGTAGTTTGGTTAATTCTGCATGTCCAAATCACCATGGTTTTTCACAGCATTTTTCCTGACCCATTGGTTTTGACTTTGGGCAGGTTTTATCTGGCTCTGCAATACATCATAATGTAATACTGATATATTTCGGGGGCCGTGTATCTGTGGATTCATATCTTGATGGGTATTCTTACCCCTCTGAGCTTCAGTTTTCCTGTCAATAAAGTCAAGCTGATGAGAAGGCTTACTTTGTTTTGTTTGCTAGCCCAATGGTGAATTGAACAAGACTACGCATGAACGCACTTAACACCAAGTCTGGCATATAAAAAGTGCTCCTCGTGGTAGCTAATGCTGTCATTAGCTGCAAATGGGCAGATTTCAGCTGGCGGAAGAGGGAGGAAGGAATCTGATGAAGCTCTCTAGCAAATAATAATCTTTGTAATTAGCTCACTGTTTATTTAAAAGAAAAGCTGACGTGCTACATTTTGTATTTACCTGAAAGTAAACTGGCAATGTGTGAGTCTTCTGCCCCAGATATATATTAAATTTTTTGATGTTTATTTATTTTCAAGAGACAGAGAGAGACAGAGTGTGAGCAGGGGTCGGGGGGTGGGGGAGGGCGGGCAGAGAAAGAGGGAGACACAGAATCTGAAGCAGGCTCCAGGCTCTGAGCTGTCAGCACAGAGCCCAATGTGGGGCTGGAACTCACGAACTGTGAGATCATGATCTGAGCCGAAATCCGACACTCAACAGAGTCACCCAGGCGTCCCCAGTCTTTTGCCCCTGAAGGGTTCATCTTTATGTTAAAGTCACATTTCCCCCAACGCTTTTAAAATATGGTTTAGGAAAAAAAAAAATTTCTACTCAGTTTTCAAGGAACATAATAATTAGACAAAAGTTCAGCACATCAACATAATTAGAAAGGATTTTAAAGCTGTTCATTTGCTTTTGCTCTCCCTAGAGCAAATATTCAACATTTCCCCTGCTTATACTGTTCATTTGCTTAGTACACTTTCTCATAGAATTAATAACGCCAAGATGAAATTTAGCCTAGCTTGTCTAAATAAGCGCAAACTGCAAAACGGGCGACGAGTGAACTAGTAAGGTTTTGTTGGAAGTATGCTATCCACGTGTCTGGTCTGTTTCATTCTGGTGTGGTATTCACCTGGACTCCTGGTGATTTGTTTGTTTCCCTTGCTACGTAAAATAAGCCAAGCCAAAAATGATATGAAATAAAATAAAGCAAGCATTCAGCGGGCAAAATAAACACGTGGTCCATGTAATCTCTTTGTTCTGTCTTCGTTCCTTCTTTGCGCCCATCCTTGAGTCGGGTTCATTTCTCCCCTCTCCCTATTTCACAGTATTCATCCCAGCTGCGATTTTAACCTACAGGAACTTGGCACAGCACGGTTTGCTTGTTCTTCCTTAGGGCATTCATTCAGTAACTCCACATTCCAGTGCCTTCTGCGCACCGGAATCCAGAGATCTCAAGATGATTGAGACTGGATCCAGGCGAAGGGGAGTTCATTGTATTACTCTTAAAACTTCCTGTAAAGTTCTTTTTTTCAACATATTATTTCCAACATTTTTCACCTTAAAAAAAAAAGAAAGATGTAGCAAATTTGAAAACGAATTCTTTATTGTCAGAGGTTACACACTGGGGGCCTCCGAACGAATGAGCCCACAATCCTGTTTACTTGGCCCATAATGTTTTGTTTTTTCAATTTTTGAATGAGTTGTCAACATTGGAAGATTGGGAGATTTCTCATAAATATCTGATTGTGGGATTTTCTTTGAAAATCAATGAAGTCTCTCAGCACCGAATCAGAATTCTGTAGGCAACAACCTCCTCACAGCTAGAGCTAACGGAGACCACCCTTTTAGAAGGGAGGTGCCCTTTCCAATTTGTCACAGCACCTACCTGACTGGCCACCTACCTGAACTCCATTGCCTGTGTTCCCTGCCTGGGCCCCATAGGCATCTGAAGCAACAATTCTACTCTTATATTAACTTGGACAATGTCAGAATCCTTATGAATTATTCCTGTGGGGCATACTGTGCTGTATATACTTG